GTGTCGGTCATCTGGGCACCGCTGGGGAGGGAAAGAAAATGTGTGAGATACTTGTTAATTTAAAAGGGTGTTCTGCTGTTGCGTCTGAGCCATTGCCACTGTGCTTTGCTTCCTGTCTTCATCCCAGGTGGTGTTTGAGGAGGCGGAAAACCAATCTGTATCTAGAAATGGGGTTTAATGGGAGTGCCTCCAGCGCGGCTGCCCCCCTGTCAGTCAGCCTGCTCTGAAATGCCACCTTTGTCTGGGCGTACAGGGAAGGTGCTTCTCCGTGGCGTGTTCCCACTGAATATTTCCAGCTTTGATCACGGAACTTGGGAGTACAAAAGGTGGGAAGGGAGAAGTGTTTCTGCAGTTGAGAGCCTCACAGGGATTTTTCTCCACAGCATGCTTTTCTCAGCATCCACAGACAAAACCGTGGCCGTGTGGGACAGCGAGACGGGAGAGAGAGTGAAGAGACTGAAGGGCCATACCTCGTTCGTTAACTCCTGTTACCCAGCGAGGCGAGGGCCCCAGCTCGTCTGCACAGGCAGCGATGACGGGACGGTGAAGGTCAGTGTGTTGTGTAAGGAGATAGTCTGGAATGAGAGCAAGATGGGACCTTTGAAAGAGATTTTGCGGTCTTCTCATTTAAGTGGGCTGAATTCAGCCTTTCACTACTCTTAACAATTTTGCTATCTAGTAACTTTGATTTCAGAAATAAAAAATCTGAAATAAAATTCAACTGCTCTTTTTTTTTGTAATTCTTTGGGTGGGGGGTTAAGGAGATTCATTTCTTAGTTGTACGTTTTCCACGGAACTGCATTAACAAAGTATGAGAAAGGCGAGCCGTGACTGCGGCCTCGCACGCCGGCCCCTTCCCTCCCCACATGCCTGGGCTCCAGCCACCCCAGGCTTTTATTAGGTTTTGCATAGAGACCTCCTGAGACCTAAAAGGGAATTTCAGGAGAGCAGTCTGAGTCTCTGCCAAGTATCTGTGCAGCTTCCTGTAATTTTATCGTTAAATATGCATATGCAACCTTTACAACTGCTGTGTCTTTTCAGCTGTGGGATATCAGGAAAAAAGCGGCCGTCCAGACATTTCAGAACACGTACCAGGTCTTGGCTGTAACTTTCAATGACACCAGTGATCAGATCATCTCTGGAGGCATCGACAACGATATTAAGGTAGGACGCCTGTGTCCTCATGTGCCTTTCCGACTGCACACGCCTTTTCCATCCCGTCACGTCTTGCACTGCTCAAGGACAAACGTGGAAGCCTGCCGGTTAGTTTTACAGTCGTGAGAACCCCGTGGACCCGCTGTGTCCGACCTCGCTGCTGATGCAGGGCCAATAAACTCGGAGGGAGCTGCTCCAGGGCTCTTTGCCACGTGATGGCCTGGGCAGCCCTGGCGTTCCTGGCCAGGCGCCCCAGCACTGCTGTCACCCGCTGGAGCTGACACGGTGTGCCGGCTCTTCTGGCAGCCTCTGCCCGTCCCGGAGGCTCCAGAGCCGTATATGAGGTAAACTAAAGAATATGTGGTGACACATCCACACTCTCTGCCCTCTGCTCCCGTTTGCAGCTTACTTTGTCACCTGCTACTGTGGAAAGTTCTTATTTAAGAGCGAGCTCAGTGTTTCATTCAGCTGGTAACTGAGGTTCTCCCGGTAGCAGAACGGTTCAGTCTGTCCTTTTAGACTCGGGCCCCAGCGTTACTGAGGCATGGGGAGCATGTGCTTGTCAGAGAGCCAGCGCTGAGTGTAGCGCTGACATGAGATCTGCTCCCACTGCCCCTTGGAAGGCAGTCACTCTTTGGGAAAGAACAGCCTGAAATTTTGGGGATTGGACAAGTGCTGCTCTGCGCCGTCAGTCGGTGGGATGTGGGAGCTGGGGGAGCTGTAGCCAGATAGAGAGGGATTGCTGCATCCACGGGGCTGCTGAGGTTTAACTCCTTGGTGGTTGAACACTTTGGGTGAGAAGTCTTCTAAGAGACAAATTCCATTTTCCCTACGAGACATATAAAATCCTAGCCCTGTATTTTAGCCCTTTAGACCCCACCAGCCCAAACTGAAAGCTGCTGTCATCAGCTGACTGATCAGTACCTGTGTGAAACGCTTTGGTCGTGGCTGTCTCTCTGTTAAACCGCAACGTTGTGTCTGAAAGGTGTGGGACCTTCGCCAGAACAAGCTCACGTACACCATGAGAGGGCACGCGGACTCGGTGACAGGCCTCAGCCTGAGCTCGGAAGGCTCCTACCTGCTCTCCAACGCCATGGACAACACGGGTACGCCCTGCCTGCGGCGCGAGCGCGGCCGTCAGGCGCTGCGCTCTTACGCTAGCTTTGCGTGGCGTTACGGAAGGGACAGCTTGGAAAAACAAGAGCCAGGCGTGGGGTGGGCTGGAGGGCGTTCTGCTCCAGGCATAAAGCTTGAATTCTGGTTGTTGCAGCAGTGCCAGCTGCATCCTTTGCTGGGTCAGAGCGGTTTGTCTCGCCTGGCGAAGGGCAGTGAGGATGTACCCTGCAGCACAGGCGGCTCGCGCGGGCAGTTGAACGTCTGGTCTGGCTCTTGTCGGGGCGGTTTGGCTGCTTCCCCCCAGCGGGGAGCGACAGCGCGGCTCCCGACCGGCCTGCCTGCTGCGGCAGGGCGCTCGGCGAAGCTGAGCTGAGCGGGAGCGTGGTCCTGGAGTGTGTTAGAATAAGGCAAATGCTCATGTAAGGAGGTGGTGGCTCGGTTGTGTGAGAGTGGTTTTGGATCTTTCCCCTCCTGTTAGCAGTGGTCTTGGTGTAATTATAAATTTCTGCGTTTGACCTTTCATTTCAAAGCTTTCTGCAGGGGGAAGCTGCTGGTTTCCTTTCGCTTCTGGGGAAACCTTGGCACGAAGAGAACAGGGAGCACGACCATGTCTTTGCTCGTTAGTGGCATGTCTTAGGAGAAGGAACGAATGCCTCTGCCGTCTTCAGCTAATTACTGTGAACTCTGTTGCAGTTCGCATCTGGGATGTGCGACCATTTGCCCCTAAAGAGAGATGTGTAAAGATTTTCCAGGGGAATGTGCATAATTTTGAAAAGGTGAGTGTGCTGCAGGCCAAACCGTGATTGTTGGTAAAATGCTGCTGCTATTAACTTTGCTGTAAATTGTTTTTTAAATGCAAGTTTAAACCAGAAAGACTTCAATAAGGTCTCAAAGAAAGATCAATGCACAAAGTGGGATTCCAATTAAAGCCACGATAACAAGATTTCCTTGCTCAGTTCAGCTATAATTAGCTGTAAATGAAGTATTTTCTACATTTACTATCTACTTTGTGTAAAATAACAAGGCACTGGATGTTTCCAGCAATAAAATAAAATCTGTAATTACCATCTCATCTTCTGAAAGGAGATCATTAAAGTGGTGCTTGTGATATTTAAAGTCTTGTGGTGATTTTAATTGAAGTGGAAGGGGAAAACTAAGTCTTTCTTTGGAAATAGATCTGTGAACGTTTTGGGTTTTTTTTTATTTTTAGAATCTTCTGAGGTGCTCTTGGTCCCCAGACGGGAGTAAAATCGCAGGGGGATCGGCTGACCGGTGAGTTACCGCTGCGTTTCTCGGTTACCATCAACCCCAGAGAGTTTTGCAAGCACTCCTGAGATGAGCTGGGTCATGTCTAAAATTAATCTGAAGACTGAGAGCTTTGCGCAGAGTTGTGAAGACCCAAACGACTCCCTTCCGTGAGCGTTGTCTGCCCTGATTACAGTAGCGATGTCTTTACATTGCCTTTGTGTCAGCGGAGGAGCACCGTGTTGTTGTAAAATCTTACTATTATTGTCAAAAGCTGACTGGAGAGGTGCGTTACTGCGTGTGTTCAGCCGCAGGATCCAGCACTAGGACCAGAGGACGACAGGAGCGTGGCTGTCAGTGGACTAGGTCCCTGCAGCCGTATCGGCAGACGCTGGTGAGAGTCTTTGAGAAGTGTGTGTGGTGAGGGGTTACACTGATAAGGACCACAAATACCAGTTAAATTGCTGCATGGCAGCTTGCAGGAGGCACTGGTGGTGTTCCAAGGACCATTCTTGATCCTTAATTTAATTGGTGAGTAAGAAGAAATAAAGATCTGACTAAATTGGTACATATTGGACTTTTAAATGAGATAGTCTGTAAGGCAACCGAGGAGTGAAATGGGTGGAGGGAGGAAGCTGGCAGAGGGTCCGTGCTAGACACCAAAGGTCACTGTGAAGGATACCAACCTCCGCTGGAGCAAGCCCAGCCGCGCCGTCAGTGACGTCGAGACAGAAATTCCTGCAGGCCGGAGTCCAGGGCATGGAGCAGTCGTAATCAGCAAATTAATGAGTCTCTGCTAGAGGATAGGGAGAACTTCAGCTCTCGCTGCCCACGTATAGTGGGGCCAGCTGCCACAGCAAGTGACTGAGTCGTGACTCTCCTTCCCAGCTGTGGTGGGCAGTAGTGGCAGTGCCCGTGGCGGGGGAGATCCCCTGCGCGTTGGCCTGTCGAGGTTGTGGCCAGTCCGCTCGGCGGTGAAGGGTGGCCGCAAGGCTTAGGCCGTGAGGTTACTTCTGCAGGTGCTGATGTAGCTCCGTGGTCTGACAGCAACTTTGTCGTGACATTCATGGGGAGCAGCACGCAGCCAGGTCCCGGGGCAGGTTGGACAAGGCTGCTCAAATCTTGCTGCCATCTCTGAGCTTTGAAGATTTTTCTTTTTTCTTTGAGAATGAGTATCTGCTGGGAAAGCAAATTGAGGTTAAACAAATGTTCATTTGTCTGAGCAAAAAAGAGTTCCCCAATGACTACTCTTTTCCTCTGCATTGCGTGGAGTGTGCGTGTGTGTGTGTGTTGGAGGGACCATCACCTGAATATTTTTTTTGCTGTTGAGCCCTGCAGAAGCATTATAGGAAAATCAGCCTTGTACAGTGCTTTCCTGCTTTGCAATACCAAATTAAAAACACAACAGCAGATTGCTTTGAGAAAACATTGGATACAGTTCTTACCTGCTAGATAAAATAGTTGTGCTTGAAGAAATGCTGCTTTAAGTAACATTTGTGACTTAAGTTGCCTTAAGTTGCAGGCTTGAATTTTTCCCTTTTATATGTTTCAAGAAAATAAGCCAAAGAACAGCACCAGCCTGAAAAAGAATGCCCCTGACAAAGCAGGTCTGCCCTGTGTTGGTACCCAGTGCCCTCCCTACCTAGCTAGCAAGCGTTACAAATGATTCAGTGCTTCTCTAGGGGGAAAAGAAGCTCACTTCTATTTCAGCTAAAAGACAAGCTAATTATAAAAGCAAATCTTGTTCTTTGTCCGGTCTGCAAAGCCCTGACAAGTGGAAAGGACCAGGTGAAACTGCGGAACCCGTTGCTGGTGGTGTTGCACGAGCCTGAAACGGTCTGGCCATGGGCTGCGTGCAGGGCTGCTGGCCCCCGGCGTGCCCAAGTTCTGCGGGCGAGACGCGGGGATGCGCAGGGCGTTTTCGGAGACTTTCCTTTGGAGCAGTGTAATGCAGTGATTGATTTTCCACCTTTTTTGTGGGCTGTCCCCATGGCCTCACCCTCTGCGGTCCCCTGTAAATAGCCATAGTGATGCCTCGAATGAAGAGTTGGAATGTACCCTCAGCAAGTTTGCTGATGACACCAGACTGGGAGGTGTGGTAGATACACCAGAAGGCTGTGCTGCCATTCAGCGAGACCTGGACAGGCTGGAGAGTTGGTCGGAGAGGAACCTGATGAAGTTCAACAAAGGCAAGAGCAGGGAGGACCCTGCCCCTGGGGAGGAACAACCCCAGGCACCAGTACAGGCTGGGGCTGACCTGCTGGAGAGCAGCTCTGCGGAGAGGGACTGGGAGTGCTGGGGGACGACAGGGTGACCATGAGCCAGCAGCGTGCCCTGGGTGCCAAGAAGGCCAATGG